AAAAACGAATCAAATCGAAAAATTGGAAAACCCAAAAATTCTAAAATCGTCAAAATTCCAAAGTTGAAAAGATCGAAAAATTGAAAAATTAAATATCGAGAAATTCAAAAATCAAAAAACTGAAAAATCGAATAAATGAAAAAGTTTTAAAATGAAATAACTGAGAAATGGAAAAATTCTAAAATAGTAACACTGAAAGAGTGAAAATTTTAAAAATTGTTATTACATAATACATATTTACAACGAAAATTAGAAAATCTGTAAATCAAAAATTAAAATTGAAGAAACGAAAAATTAAACCTAAAAATTGAAAAACCGAAAAATTTAAAAAATAAAGAAAATAAACCCAAACGAAAAATTTAGGAAATAAAAAATTTTGCCGAATAAATCCCACCTTTGGAGCCTCTAGTGTCTTTCCTTATAATAATTTAGTTAAATTTCTTAGAAGATACGTCATTTATTAAAATCAGTCTTATCTTAGCAGGTACTAGCCCCACCCGCCCGCCCTCTCTTTTCTTAGAGGGTATCTCATTTGCCAAAATCACTCTTATCTTGGCAGGAACTAGCCCCGCCCACCCACCCTCTCTTTTCTTAGAGGATATCTCATTTGCCAAAATTAGTTTCACGAAAATTCACGTGATAATTTTTCAATTTAACGTCATCGACGTACCAGGCGGAATGAGTAAATAAATTTCAATTCACATTTTACTAAAATTTCCAAAACATCCTTCTCGAGCTTCTAAAATAAATCATAAAAATGTCATAATAAATAAGAATAAGTAATAAGTTTTAAAATCAAATATGTAATTGACAAATGGAAAAAATGTAAAATAATAAAATTGAAAATGTGAAAAATTTTTTAGAAATTATTATTATTACATACTTACCATGAAAACTAGAAAAATTGTAAATCAAAAAATCTAAAATTGTTTTTTTCATTTTCTTCCGTTTTTCAATTTTTCCACCATTCAGTGTTTCGGTTTCTTAATTTTGGCTTTTTCAATTTTTCAGTTTTCCAATTTTTCGTTCACTCAATTTTGTCACAATTTTTCGTTTTTTTTCCTTCCTTTATTTTTTCAATGTTTCTTTCGATTTTACAATCTTTTGTTTATTCAATTTTTCAAATTTTCAAGCTTTGGGTTTTTTTCCAATTTCTTTGATTTCCAATTTATATTTTTTCTCGATTTTCATTTTTGAGTTTTCAGTTTTTCCATTTTTTTGTTTCGAAAAGTTGGAAAATTAGGAAATTGAAAAAACGAGAAATTACAAAATCGAAAAAATGAATGAATCGGAAAATTGGAATAAAAAAAAAACGAATCGAATCGAAAAATTGGAAAATCCAATGCTGGAAAATCGTAAAATTACAGAATTCGTCAAAATTCCAAAGTCGAAAAACAGTAACATTGGAAGATCGAAAAATTGAAAAATTAAATACCGAGAAATTAAAAAATTATTAATTCAAAAATCAAAAAATTGATTAATCGAATAAATGAGAAAGTTTTAAAATCAATTAATTGGAAAAACTGTAAAATAGTAAAATTGAAAATGTGAAAAAAACTTAAAAGTATTATTATTACAATGAAGGCTAGAAAAATTGTAAATCAAAAAGTGTGAAACGAAAAATTAAAAATCTAAAATTGTTTTTCCATTTTCTTTCATTTTTCAATTTTTCCACCTTCCACTTCATAATTTTGGGTGTTTTCAACTTTAATTTCTTCTGTTTCTTAATTTTGGCTTTTTCGATTTTTCAGTTTTCGTCTCTTCAATTTTCAAGTTCTCGATTTCCAATTTTTATATTTTAATAATTTTTGGTTTTTTCATTTTTGATTTTTCAGCTTTACAATTTTGCAATTTTTCCAATTTTTTTGATTCGAAAAGTCGAAAAATCAAAAAATTAAAACACTGAAAAACTAAAAATCTTGGAACTTGGAGAAGAAAAACGAATCAAATCGAAAAATTGGAAAACCCAAAAATTCTAAAATCGTCAAAATTCCAAAGTTGAAGCGGAGCTTCTAAAATAAATCATAAAAATGTAAATAAATAATAAAAAATAAAAACAATTAATTAATTAACACTCTTTTAATATGATCTACATATACAGGCTGTTCCAAAAATGACAGATAAGCTCGAGGTATGTTGTTAAAACGACTAAAGAATTCGAAAAAATGGTTAAAAAAATTCCTTAAACCAAATTTTTGAAAATATTAAACTTCAAAGTTGAAGATTTAACTTCGTAATTCTGATTTGTTTCAATTATTAAATATTAAATATTTATTGAAGCCAATATATGTATGATTTTACACATAATATAGCGAGTCAAATTTGAAATACAATAAAAAACTTATATTGATACATCTCAAACATACGTAAAAAGAAAAACAATAAATGCGATATTAAGAGATTTCGAAATTTTGTGAAAAAAGAATGGTTCGTATGTAAAAAATGAGATCTGGTTCTTGAATTCTTTAATAGACAGTCAAATAATTAGTTGTTAATAATTTAATATCTACTAGTGAATTTTTCAATTTTGAAGTTTAATATTTTTAAAAATTTGATTCTGGGATTTTTAACCATTTTTTCGAGTTCTTCGGAGCCTTCTTACCGTCATTTTTGGAACTGTTTCTGGTTTTTATTCCGTTGGGAGTTTTTTTTAATGCTTCTGGTCTTCACTATTTCATCTTGTGTAAATACTGTTTCTATATTTTTTAATTTTCTATTTTTTGATATTTCCGTTTTTTGTGTATCTACATATTTGCTTATAAAAAAATATATCAGATTGCTAATTAATTATTCTAACCTCAAAACCCACTTTTTAATGTGAAATTCACAGAACCAAATTATCAAACATCAAAACATTGACTTCTTACAAAGCCATTATCCATTTTTTGATTTGATTTAACCTGACCTGACCTGACATGACCTGACCTGACCTGAGATGATATGACTTGACTTAAGCTAACCTAAGCTGCGATCCTATATTCTATAACTCTATAAGCTGCAAAACGTTAAGAAATGATGAAATTACATATCAATCAAAATCCCCACTTTACACATACCTCACTTATCTAATGCTCAAGAAAATAATATAATAATAAATTTTCGTACAAGTATTATTATATTACAAAATAAACAGATTAATTTCTTCATAATTCATTTGCAACATGGAATATCTCCTCCAAGATAAATCACTAATGGCTGACTCTTCCTCGACCCAAATACCCCTCCTGAATTAAAAACCGTAAACACATGCAAATCCGCAGTGATTAATCGGCTATGTTCGCACCCTTTATTGAACATGCCATTTACAAGAAAAGCTGCTATCGGCTATAATCTCGTAAACCTGTTACAGGAAACTAAGCTCTACCTACTTTCAATCAAAGTCGGATTACTGCAAAAGCTCTGTAAATATGAACGTAATCACTCCGCAATTATTGCCCTCCCCGTCGTCCTCCTTTCCGAAAAAAACTCCTCGCTCTGAAAAACAATACACAAATAAAAACACCATCCTTCTTTGCGAGCATCTTAATATATCGGTGACGATAAAAACAAATGACAATTCACTTATGAGTAAATTGAATAGTGGACGCTGGAGCGTAATATAGGAACCCCCTGCGGAGCGCCCTTGGTAGCCAGTGGCGTAGTCATAAATTTATATAAAGACGGTCGATCTTGCACAAAAATAAAACAATTTATTTAACGGACCTTATTTATCTTTAATGCCGGTTAATAGCCCTCGGTCTGTCTCGAGCACCCTGGAAAACAGCCCCCAGGGCATTTTTTCGATTACTTGATAGAATTTTTTTTTTTATTTGAAAATGTCATTGTCTTCAAGTGTCACTTAAAAACTGTGCACGAAAAAAGTGGGAATCAGAGTTGGTTTATCGATCGATTAAAACCAATATTTTTTCTTGTTAGTCGGTAAAGCACCTGCATTACGCTCTGCTACCGGTATTCAAAAAAAAATCTAAAACCTCACTAGCGCTACTGTTTATTAAAATTCCACCGTGTAAAATTTATTAAAACAATCAACTCAGTTTGATACCTAGCAATTAAAACAATGCATCATCACGTTCAGCCATTAACAAGTGAACAGCGTGTAACAGGCACAGCCAGCTCCTTCTTATTAATATCCTGAATATTCCGATTTCAGTGTTGTTTCAGGCGCGGCGCTTCGCTTCTTAATTTGTTTGAATACTTCCACTAATTGTTGTAATTTTAATTTATATAACGCCGAGTTTCCTTATTAAGTTACGCCCCAGGCCGTTTATTACGCCACAAAATGAAATTATCCCCATCTCTACTACAAAAAAACAATTTTTTGGTCTACTCGGTATAATTATATGCACCTAACCTAATTAACTGAGTTTTTATTTTAACTGCGAGGAGCAGACTTGCTTTAATATCGCTTAGCGGTTTAATGAAATGATCCCCTTGTAGCGATATATTTTAATAACCACCCCTGTGTCACATAACGATCAGGACGGAGTTCACCCTTCTTCGCACACTAACATTTTTTCCATAACTCGATTTATACACTCTTTGTCCAACTTTGTGGTTTCTGTATCTACAAACACATAGCAGTTCCTGTAACTAAACTATTTATATTATTTATTTATGCATTTATACTCACTTTATTAATTCCAGGTTAACTGAAACCATACATTATTTTTGCTCTAAATACACTTACTTCGATGTTTAATCTCACCTAGAAAATTGATGACGTCATCGCATAAATTACATTGGTATCAATATAAACAGTGAACACTATTAAAAGGTATAGTTTTTTTGTACGCTAAAATATTTTTATGTCCATGTTGAGTGCTTTGTTTGAAAAAATCGCCAATTTTGTTAGTTTCATTTAAAGATTTTTTACAGCTATTCATTAATAACATTTTTCCTAAAAAGTAGATGTTTTTTGATACATAAAAAAATTGCGTGAAAATTGGCCAGGTTTAAAATGCATGGGTTTTTTGACCCGCTTCGTTGGCAGCGTTATGTCATATGTCATATGTCAAATTCAAAATGTCCGAATAGCAGTGGTTATAAAACCGAACTTAGCAAAAATAGCCCTCGGAGCACCCTCAGCCGTAACTACAATCACAAAAAAGGTATTTTAAGCCGTTAATTCACGAACACACTTGGCCCCACGCCCTGCACTCGTGCCAACCCTATTTTTAGATGTCGGCAAACGCGAGTCCATCACACTACACTGAAGATGCATTCGTGACGGATGCAAACTTCAAAGTAGAAATCAATCAAAAAATGAAGGTTCCCGACAAGATCAGCTTCACTACTGACTTGAACGGCGGGAACCCCGGTCTGTGGGACAGGGACAACATCAACATGCAAGTCCCCGAGAGAATCCTAGTTGTAGGCCAGCACCAGCACATCGGTAAGTAAGTAGGCATGGCTCGACTTTTAAACATGTTATGCAACGAACGTAGGAACTAGGGCACCCCCTCGAGAAATTGTTTTCGATAACTCGGTCCTTCCAGCAGAGCCGTACCCCGGAGACGTCCGAGTGGCGACCCCGCCTCGTACTTTAACGCTAGACAAGTACCCGTTTCCCACGCTCGAGGAGATGGACGATCCCGAGCTGGAGCAAATACCAGTTATTAAGCCAAAGAAAAAGCCGGCGTTTGACGACTCCGATCTGAGTTTGTCGGTGAGGGAGAGCACGCCGCCTATTGGGGGCAGCGGCGACAGGTTAACACCGGCAGAGGAGATTTTACACCTGAGGCGACAAATGGCCAAGCTGAATCGGCGGGTGATGGCGTTAGAGTTGGAGAATTTGGGGAGGTTGCAGAAAGAGAAGTTTCTTTTAGGGTTCGGGGTTGCTTATTTGCTGCTGAAAGTGATTGTTTGGATGAACCGAGATTAGGGCGACGTAGTCATTGTTGTTCCCCGTAAGTAAGAAATAAATTGTGTTTACCTTGTATTGACTTGAACCTAGACTGTGACTTAAGTATCATATTTCTTCAATTTTTTTAAGTTTTTATTAGTCTGTTGTAATCTTTTTAAATACACTTATCACAATTAAGGGGTTTTTAATCAAAATCCATTTTGGGTTCAGCTGTTTCAGCGTCTCTACATTTTGCGTTTTGGAGCTCTCTTCTGATTTCTGGGGTGATGGAGTGGTGGGTTTGTTTTTTCAATAATTCCAATAAGCTGTCTCTCTGGTCGCTTGAAATATCGGCTTTGTATCTTTGTACAAAGGTTAAAAATGCCTGGTGCCACAGTACCGGCATTTCTCTTGGGTCTCTCTCAAATCTCAAAAAGTGAAAAACTACTGCATCCACAACTCTATACGGGAGCGCATATCTTTTATCAAAAAATATCCTCAAGAAAACCGAGTTTGCACCAGTGTAGTCCATTTCAGCTATTTTTAAAATAGCAGCTGATGAGTGGAGCATAGGGATAGAATTTCTGGCAACAACAGACCCAATAATGATGGCTTCACGTAACGTACAGTCGCCACTCTCCAACAGTGGCAACAAAATTCCTTTCATGAAGCCCCCTGGCTTAAACAAAGCTTTCTTCAAAGCTTGATACAAGTGGAAATTTAGTCTTTTGTACTCGGCCAAATCATCACGAATTCGAGGCAGCAAAACCAAATTGTAGAATCTCTGAGCCATTTTTTCTTTTAAATTTGAAGCAAAAATTCGCGTGGCTTGATACATAGCAGCAGCTGACCAACTTGGAGGATCTAAAATTTACCAATTTATACTTAAATGTTTAATAAAAAGTGTGACAGTTACCAGTAATATATAAAATCTGCTCCCAGTTCCTCAAGCTGGGGATAATTTTAAAAGCTTTGGGCAACTTCCCACTCCGGTATTTCCTCAACACATCCCTAACCCCTTGATACATTTGTTCCACTCTGGGGTCAACCTCTTGCATTTTCACAGAACCATCTTCAGTGAAATGTGTTTTCACTTCAGTCAATCTTTCGGCCAAAATATCGCCCAAAGTCCGTCTTGGAGCGGGATTGTTACTCATGAATTTCTCCAACGCTTTCTCATCTTCCTCATTAATTTCAATATTTTCGTAAAAGGTATCAGGTTCCAGTGTGTCTTCCTCGTCTTGTTCAGACTCAGAGTCCTCATCTCCAAGTTTAGGCGCTTTTGCTTTACTAGAACTGGCTTCAGCTGGCGTGGGCCCAAAATTTGAGTCCAACTCGCGTTGTTGTTCCCGAGCCACTGATAAGATTTTCCGGGACAAATTTGAGTCCACGAACTACAAAAACAATGTAATTTGAGCCACAATCACGTTTTTATTACTCACTTGTTCTTCTTCGTCTTGTCGAAGGCGGATTTTATTGCGGTTTTTCGACTTGGCGAACTTTGTATCTTCAATGTCTTGGTCCAGAGGGACTTTGGTGCCCATTTGCGAGGGTTTTAGGCGCTTTGCTTTGCCCATCTTTGTTTATTTCGACTACACGTGTTAAATAAAGGTTCTGAGGTAACCTACAAATTGGAAAAGGAAAAGGTTACTACATTTGACGTTTATGCAGGTTGGCATGACTGGCGTTACGAGTTATTTGAATAAATTTAGGTTTTGGGTGTAAACATGTCTACGAAGACTTCATTTAATACTAAATCGCGATTTTTTATTTACGAATGACTCCTTCATTTTTAATATTTTCAATTATTGTAGATTTTTCTGGAGCAAGTTAGGGTTTTTTATATTTAGTTAGTGACAATTGGTGGTTACTTTCCTTCCCTGCTGTCAGTACAAAAAATATGGCTGGTGTTGGCCTTTGAAAGTTTTATTGTTGTGCATTTAAACCGAATTTTCCATTAAACCGGTAATTTCTCACTAAATACCCATTGTACACGACTTCTGTTTTAACAAACCAATTGTGTTGTAACCATAAACCCCGCTTTAACGACCCATTTTCAGCAAAACTACCAATCCCGTCTCAATGGTTTTGGACACAATAGTTCATTTCGCAAAATGAAGCCGACTTAGCCACCGAGACGATTCCACTTACCAATAAATATCCACCCCCAGAGTTAGACCCGCCTTTAACAATGTTTAGTAGCAGTTTGCTGTACGAAAAGCGGCCGCTTAAAAAGCCCCGAATCGGCCCTCCGGATGTCTACCCACAAGAACCCAAGCAAAAAGAGGATGAGTTGACGAGCATCAACGTAAAACATGGTTTTCCAACCATGACCCATCTGAGTGACGAGTTTGGGACGGCTAGAAATTGTAATGTCTCTGCAAGCAAAGTGGGGACTTATTTCAACGAGATCATCCAGAGGAAGGAGGAGCTGAGTATGTTGCCGGATTCGGGGCGCAAAAGGCAGCAGATTAATCACAAAGATAACTTCTGGCCAGCTACTATAAGAACAAAAAATGCTATTGAATCTTGGTTTAAAGATTTAGCTGGGAATAAACCGTTGATGCATTTATCAAAGAAAGCCCCCAATTTTAATAAAAAAGAGGAGATTTTTATAATGTTGTGTGAGTATCAGGTGCCTATGATGAGAGCAGCGTGGTTTATTAAATTGAGTTTGGCTTATACTGTTGCTGTGTCTGAGGCAAAAATAAAGAAGAGGCAGATGTCTGACCCTACCACTGGTATGACTTATTTTTCAAAAAATGCGGCTTGAATTTAAGTTATTGTTGTAGAGTGGACCGGAACTTTACTTAAATTTTTAAAAGAGCAACTTTTAAAATTGCAAGACTACTATTCCCAGGGTGAAAAACCACCCCCGGCGCCTTCCTTAACTCAAGCTGCTACCACAGAAACTGATCAAAAATTGGCAATGAGACACTGGACTTACTGTACACAGTTACTTAAATACATGTATGAAGAAGGATTGATGGATAGACAAGAAGTTTTGACTTGGATTCTAGAACTGTTGGAAAAAATGCGTTCAGATGACGGCATTTTACGTTTATTGTTGCCTTTGTGTTTGCAGAATTTGGAGGAGTTCGTCCAATCTGAACTCCTATCAAGGCGCTTGGCACATTTATGTTGTAAAAAATTAGGTTATATGTTGAATAATGTAGCTGAAACTAATTTAATTACGTCGCCGCAAAGTGAATCCACGAAAACGGAAACAAAAGAGAATGAAAAAGAAAAAAAAGAAATTCCTGCTTGTAACCCTATGCAGAGCACTCTTTTGGAGTACCAGAACTGCCCCCACCATCGCGATATCGGTACTATTTTTTATCGTGTGTTTTTGGTGTTTTTAAAGGTTGTTTTTAGTGCTACAATTGACTAGTATCATCCAGACTGTCACTCTGGAGTGTCCAACTTCTCTAGTGTGGTGTAGCGCTGGGGTTGGTACTGTTTGGCACGGATCTCCCCTAGATTTGCTACCAATGGTACCATCCGCCTTGCCTATGCCTGCTAGATGCGACATGAACACATACAGGAAACAATTACAGTTTACTGAGCACTCGATAAGGGAGAGGAGCAAAAGGGCGGAGGGCAGATGGTGTACTGAAAAATGGCAAGCTTCATCTGCTGGTACTTTAAGTTTATTATTAAAAAAATCAATGTTGGCCAACTAAGATCTGGCATCCGCTGCGCCCTCTACGACCGTAACAATTTTTGAGGTTAGAATCAATTGCAACAATAAAATTCGACATTAATTAATGTTATGGCTGTAGGAAGCGCAGCGGACGCCAGATCTTAAGTCGATTTATAAACTTCCCGCTGACGTTACTGTTCGCTGTTGTGTCATTGACGTTTGGTTTTCAACCAATGAAATTGCGGTAGTGTGCAGTGCTGCCAACTTGAAGGAAAATCCCCTGAAGTAGGGGGGACATTTTTCTGGTTGACAGCACAACTAATATTAACCATTTAATAAGCTGTTCACCAAAACCCTCATACTTTAAATAGCTGCCATCATTTTCTACGCTGTAGAAAGGTAAAATATGTCTAAAATGGTAAATTTTTGTAGGAAAGTATCGATTTTGCAATTAGGCTACGCCCCTCGGTCTGACAACGAATGAAAAATTCATCGCGGTTGAGATCGAGACAAATGGGTGGGGCTTCTTTTTTGCTTTTATTTTTTAATTAATACATTTTGTTTTCTTTGTATGACACGATTACTTAAGAACATATTTCACATGCTAATTTTTCGTAGAAAAATAAGGATTTTACAATTAAGCTCCGCCCCTCGGCTTACGACGAATAAAAAAAATCATCAGAATTGATATAGGGTGGGTGGGCGGGGTTTATATTTTACCTTTTTTTAAATATGCATAGCCATCTTTTCACAACCAGAAACTTAAAACATGGCTAAAGTGATACATTTTTGCAAGGAAATATCCATTTTGCAATTATGAGGCAGAGCGTATTTCCTTGGACAAATTTTCCATTTTAAACATGTTTTAAGTGTCATGTTGTGAAAAAAAAAGTACACATATTAAAACAAAAAGGCAAAATGTAAGCCCGCCCACCCACCCGATCTCAATTGTGATGATTTTTTTTATTCGTCGTCGTGAACCAACGGGGCAGAGCGTAACTGCAAAATACCTATTTTTTACAAGAAATTAAAGACATATTTTTAAGTATAGTGTTTTTCAAAGAATACAATGTTTATTAAGAAAAAAAGGTAAATTATAAACTCCCCCGTCTCAATTGTGATGATTTTTTTATTCTTAGAAACTTAAAACACGTTTAAAATGATAAATTTTTGTAGGGAAATATCGATTTTGTAAATACGCTCCGCCCCTCGGTCTGACAACGAATGAAAAATTCATCACGACTGAGATGGGGTGGGTGGGGGGCTTTATATTTTGCCTTTTTTTCTTAATATACATAGCCATCTTTTCACAACAAGAAACTTAAAACACAGTTAAACTGGTACATTTTGCAAGAAAATATTGATTTTGCGATTATGGGGTGGAGCTTAATTGCAAAATCGATATTTCCTTATACAAATTTTAGACTTTTTCAATAATTCTATTTTTCTATTTTTCGATTTTTCATGTCTTGAATTTCTCGATTTGTAATTTATCGTTTCGAATTTTTATCCCCCTTATTTTGTCAATTTTTCGTTTTTTCAATGTTCTGAGTTTATAATTTTCTTTTTCAATGTTGAAATTTTTTAATTTTTTTTTTGGATTTGAAATTTTTCGATTTTTGAACTTTTACATTTTCTAATTTTTCGTTTAGATTTTCAGGTTCATGATTTTCCAATTTTATATATGCAATAATGATAATTTCTACATAATTAAAAAAACACTTTTTTAATTTTACGAGTTTAGAATTTTTACATTTTTCAATTTTTTGTCTTCAAATTTTCGATTTTTCAAAGTTTCGATTTCATAATTTTTTGTTTCTTCAATTTAAATTTTTCTAATTTTTCGATTTGTAATTTTTCAAATTTTTTATTTTTTTTTTTGTTTCTTCAATTTTACGATTTTCAGCTGCTCCGAGTTTTTATTTATACATTTTTCGGTTATTCGATTTTCCAAATTGTGGATGCAATTTTTCGATTTCTTAATTTTTCATGTCTTCAATTTTTCGATTTGTAATTTTTCGTTTCGGATTTTTTTTTCTTATTTTCTCAAATTTTCGATTTTTCAAAGTTTCGATTTTATAATTTTTTTTTTCAAATTTCAGATGTTTTAATTTTTTGTTTCTTCAATTTTTCGATTTACAATTTTTCAAAAAGGCAAAAAAGGATTTTTTTTTTCTTAATATACATAGTTATCTTTTCACAACAAGAAACTTAAAACACAGTTAAAATGGTACATTTTGCTAGAAAATATTGATTTTGCAATTATGGGGTGGAGCTTAATTGCAAAATCGATATTTCCTTATACAAATTTTAGACACTTTTAATAATTCAATTTTTCTATTTTTTGATTTTTCATGTCTTGAATTTCTCGATTTGTACTTTCTTGTTTCGAATTTTTATCCCCCTTATTTTGTCAATTTTTCGTTTTTTCAATGTTCTGAGTTTATAATTTTTCTTTTTTCAATGTTGAAATTTTTCAATGTTTTTTGGATTTGAAATTTTTCGGTTTTTGAACTTTTACATTTTCTAATTTTTCGTTTAGATTTTCAGTTTCATGATTTTTCAATTTTTCATTTCCTTAATTATCGATTTGCAATTTTTCTAGCTCTCATTTTATATATGCAATAATGATAATATCTACATAATTAAAAAAAAAAATTCACTTTTAATTTTACGAGTTTAGAATTTTTACATTTTTCAATTATTTTTCAATTTTTTACGTCTTCAAATTTTCGATTTTTCAAAGTTTCGATTTTATAATTTTTTGTTTCTGCAATTTAAATTTTTCAAATTTTTTATTTTTTTGTCTCTTCAATTATACGATTTTCAGCTCCTCCGAGTTTTTATTTTTAAATTTTTCAGTTATTCGATTTTCCAAATTGTGGATGCAATTTTTCCATTTCTTAATTTTTCATGTCTTCAATTTTTCGATTTACAATTTTTTAAAGCCCGCCCACCCACCCTGTCTCAATTGCGATGATTTTTTTTATTCGCCGTGAACCAAGGGAACGGACCTTAACTGCAAAATATTTTCTTTTTACAAAAAATTAAAAATCTATTTTTGAGTATAATATTGTTCAGAGAATACTATGTATATTAAAAAAAAAAAAAAACAAAATATAAACCCCGCCCACCCATCCCATCTCAGTTGTGATATTTTTTTTTATTCTTAGAAACTTAAAAAAACACGTTCAAAATGGTACATTTTGTAGGGAAATATCGATTTTGTAATTACGCTCCGCCCCTCGGTCCGACAACGAATGAAAAATTCATCAAGATTGAGATGGGGTGGGTGGGCGGAGTTTATATTTTGCCTTTTTTTATTTTTCGATTTTTCATGTCTTGAATTTCTCGATTTGTAATTTCTCGTTTCGAATTTTTATCCCCCTTATTTTGTCAATTTTTCGTTTTTTCAATGTTCTGAGTTTATAATTTTTCGTTTTTCAATGTTGAAATTTTTCAATGTTTTTTGGATTTGAAATTTTTCGATTTTTGAACTTTTACATTTTCTAATTTTTCGTTTAAATTTTCAGTTTCATGATTTTCCAATTTTATACACTCACCGGCAAAAAAATCGAATCATTAGTATTTTTGTAGAAATCTTCAATAAATTCTGGTGTGCGTCACATTTATAAGACAAATTAGTTTATCTACGACAAAGGAGATGAGAAGGTAACGGGACCTTCGCTGAAGTTGCAACAATTACGAGTTTATTAAAAAATACCAGAAAATCCATTACATTAAACCAACAAAAGACTACTTAACATATCATTAATAACGACTGTTGTCGCCTCTAGCTTGCATTAGGGTTGCCATACGTCTTCCCATGCCTTCTATGAGGTGTCTAATCTCAGCCTGGGCTAATTGGTCAAATTCTTCAACTAGCGCATTTGCAAGATCTCTTATGTGTTGTATGGCCGGCACACGTGCTCTGATACGTCTACCTAACATGTCCCACACATGCTCAATTGGATTCAGGTCGGGACTGCGTGCTGGTCATTCCATACGTGAAATCCCGAATTCGTCGAGGTAGGTTTGTACAACTCTAGCGATATGTGGTCTAGCATTATCATGCATTAGAATAAAATTATCACCAATAAAAGGAGCAAAAGGTACGACATGCTCTTGAAGAATATTTGCTACATATCGATCAGCATTCATTGTGCCTCTATCCACCACTACAAGTTCCGTGCGAACCTCGGCAGAAATTCCTGCCCAGACCATCGCTGAACCTCCATGAAAACTTAGTCTGGAAACAATATTGCACTGAGCCTACCTTTCGCCTCTTCTTCGCCATACTCTTTGACGGCCGTCAGGAGAACGTAGACAAAAACGCGACTCATCTGTAAAGAGTACTTGGTCCCATTGGGCAAGATCCGAGTTAACGTGTTCTCGAGCAAATGCAAGTCGGGCTACTCTGTGTCGTGGGAGAAGTTCTGGGCCACTTGCAGGTCTATGGGCCCTCAATTCAGCTGCAGTTAACCTTTTTCTTACAGTTCTTTCACTTACACTAACTCCTCGTGTTTCTTCAAGTTGATTTATGGCCTCAACTGCGGTCGTATCTCTATTACGGAACACGGTCAGCGTTAAAAAACGGTCATCCCGAGCCGATGTTTTCTTTGGACGACCCGAATCAGGTCTTCGGCTGTATGATCCAGTCTCATTAAACCGTCGTACAGTTCTGTGAGTGCTCACTTGTGATAACCCTAACGTATTGGCAACGTACCGTTAACTTCGACCATCCTGAATAAGAGCAATTGCTCGTGCTGCATTAATGGCCACAATACTCATGTTAATTGACAAAAACACAGTTTTCATCAAATCACAATGACAAACCGTCTGTTAATGCCCTCTAAACGTCACAACTGCAAATCTCATTGTTGGAAAAAACTTATCATCTTCAGATTTGAGGTTCATATCATGTACAAAAAAGAACCAAAAACCTAGTGTTAGTATATTTTGTGTGATTTTTTCAAAACTGATATTGACTGTAGCCAAATGTTTAAAAAAGGAACCATTTTCAATACAAACTTTGGGTGATTCGCTTTTTTTGCCGGTGAGTGTATATGCAATAATGATAATTTCTACATAATTAAAAAAACACTTTTTTAATTTTACGAGTTTAGAATTTTTACAATTTTCAATTTTTTGTCTTCAAATTTTCGATTTTTCAAAGTTTCGATTCCATAATTTTTTGTTTCTTCAATTTAAATTTTTCTAATTTTCTGTCTCTTCAATTTTTCGATTTGTAATTCTTCGAATTTTTTATTTTTTTTTGTGTTTTTAATTTTACGATTTTCAGCTCCTCCGAGTTTTTATTTTTAAATTTTTCAGTTATTCGATTTTCCAAATTGTGGATGCAATTTTTCGATTTCTTAATTTTTCATGTCTTCAATTTTTCGATTTGTAATTTTTCGTTTCGGATTTTTTTTTTCTTGTTTTCTCAAATTTTCCATTTTTCAAAGTTTTGATTTTATAATGTTTTGTTTTTCAAATTTCAGATGTTTTAATTTTTTGTTTCTTCAATTTTTCAATTGACAATTTTTTAAATTTTTCAAAAAGGCAAAATGTAAGCCCGCAGACCCACCCTATCTCAATTGCGATGATTTTTTTTATTGGCCGTGAACCAAGGGGGCGGAGCTTAACTGCCAAATACTTTCTTTTTACAAAAAATTAAAAATATATTTTTGAGTATCGTATTGTTCAAAGAATGCTATGTATATTAAGAAAAAAGACAAAATATAAACCCCGCCCACCCATCCCATCTCAGTTATGATAATTTTTTTTATTCTTAGAAACTTATATTTTGTCTTTTTTTAATGTACATAGCCTTTTTTCACAACAAACTTAAAAGATGATAAAATGGTATATTTTTTCAAGGAAATATAAACCCCGCCCACCCACCCCATCTCAATTGTGGTTATTTTTTTTTATTCGTAGACATTTAAAACACGTTTAAAATGGTAAATTTTGTAGGGAAACGTCGATTGTGAAATTACGCTCCGCCTCTCGGTCGAACAATGAATGGAAGATTCATCAGAATTGGGATAGGGCGGGTGGGCGGGGCTTATATTTTGCCTTTTTTTCTGATAATACGTAATCGTCTTTTCAGAACAAGAAACCTAAAACATGTTTAAAATGGTAAATTCTTGTAGACAAATATGGATGTTGCAATTAAGCCCCGCCCCTCGATCTGACAACGAATGAAAAATTCATCCCAATTGAGATTTGAAATTGAGGCGGGTATGGGTGGTACCTAATCTTTGGCTTTATTGTTTTCTTAATATACATAGTATTCTTTGAACATGATACTCAAAAACATGTTTTTAATTTCTGGTAGAGTAATAAGGAGGCTCACGACGAATAAAAAAATCATCCCAATGGAGATAGGGCGGGTGGGCGGGGCTACATTTTGCCTTTTTTTCTTAACGTGTGTAGACAATCTACAGCAACGGAGTTTATAAATGACAATTTTCAACGTCCGTGGGAACTTCAACGTCAACAGCAACTACATTTAGTGTCATTTGTAGGAACCATCACCAATCGGGTTTTGGCAGCCCTGGACGCCCTAGATCGCCACCGTTTTGACAAGATGGATTCCACAAACTCCCTGGACACACTTTATGCTAAAGTTTTCAGCAGTAATAATGACCAGGAAAGCTCGGTTGTTAAATTATTGTGCGAATGGGCGGTGTCCCCTGAGCGGACAGGCGAACATCGAGCTTTAGCAGTGGCGGCTCTTTTAGACCGTCGCCAGTCCGATTCCACCGCCAATGGCGACCAAGAGACTACGGGGGGAGATGATAAAGACTCGAATTGTTCCGCCCCTGGCGGCCCCCCCATGTTCCAAAATTTACTAATGAAGTTTTTAGATACAGACGCTCCTGTTCCTTCACCGGATGATTGTTCTCAAGTAAAAATTAAATTATTGTTGTAATTAAAAATTAATTATTTGTTGCTTTAGAAAAAGACGGCGTTTTCGAATTTAGTTCATTTGTTTGCGGAGTTGGTGCGCCGGGACGTTTTCTCGCATGACGCCTACATGTGCACTTTGATCTCGCGGGGGGACTTGTTGGGGCACGAGGAGACCACGGAGGTTAGCAACAGCCACCAGTCCCACCACACTAAAGTCGAGGTAACTACCCCCCAGAAACACGATCAAACTTGACGTATTATAAACAGGACCATTCCCACACCATGGATTACGATGACGCCAATATTGACCACGACCTGGACAAGATCCTACAAAACATCAAAGAGGAGCACGGCAACTCCATGGACGCTCCTGACAGCCCTAAGGAGCACGACCACGGTCACCACCCCCACGTGCCGTCTTCTATAGGCCACGTGCCCATGGAAACCGACCACAAAGTCAAGCCCTCGCGCCACCTCCTGTACACCACCCACTTCCCGCTGTCCCAAGACGACGCGCTCTCCCAACACGACTGCAACCAGCGCCACGTGCTGCTCTACGGCGTGGGCAAAGTGCGCGACGAAGCCAGACACACCGTGAAGAAGATGTCCAAGGAAATCATCAAGCTGTTCTCGAAGAAGTTCAGCATCGACGTCGCCGAAGGCGGTAAAGTGAAGAAGCACTCGAGGAACGAGTTCAACTTCGAGGCGACCACGCAGAAGTTCCAGAGTTTGAGCTACTTCGACCAGCACGTGGTCACGTGGCAGTGCAGCGTGACGGTGATCGAAATGCTGAACACTTTCGCTATCGGGAATTCGAATTATCTGCCGGTGCAGGAGCACGTGGCGTTCTTGTTCGATTTGATGGAGTTGGCGTTGAATATTTACGGGTTGATAGATGTTTGTATACAGATTTTGAAGGAGCTGCCGGAGGTGGAGGCGCAGCTGTATAATAAGAACTCGGTGTTGAATAGGAATTATACGACGTCGTTGAGCTTGTATGTGGTGGGGGTGTTGAGGCGATACCACTGTTGTTTGTTGCGTAAGTGTTAATGTCATTCATGATTTATTAAAATAGCACCTTGAAACATTGTTTAATTTTAGTGTCTCCGGAGCAAACTTCGGCCGTTTTCGAGGGGTTGTGCAAAGTCGTCAAGCACGTGAGCAACCCCGGTGACTGCAGTTCGGCGGAACGTTGCATTTTAGCGCACCTTTATGATCTCTATTCTTGTTGTAATTTGTTGAAGTCTAAACCTCACACGGGTGAGCCGTTCGGTAACGCCTATCCTAAAATAAGACAAGCTTTGTATACGGCGCTTCAGCCGACACCGAACAGTAATTATGTTTACAACGCCCAGTATATGCAAGAGGTGTTCGCCAATCCGAGGCGCGGAGGTCGGATTGAGAGCTCGTGGGCACGACAATTAAATGAGAGTGCCAATAATAGGTACTTTACCAAAACGGACTTATTAGTGTGTTATTATTTTTGTTGTTTTAGATACTCATTTGTTAGCAATGCTGTGATACATGTTTGTCGTGAGATGGACAATGAGAGACTGAACGATTTAGCGATTATGTGTGCCGAAATGACTGCGTGTTGTAACTCTTTGGCGTCGGAGTGGTTGGGGGTTTTGTTGGCTTTGTGTTGTCCGGTTGCCCATCCTGGGTACTATAATGACGTTTTAGCACAGTTGGATATACAAGTAAGTTTGGGTAAATCCCGGAAGTGGAGTTTAAAGTTTGGTTTTTGTTTTAGGATGTCAGTATTCATAACGCGTTAGCTGTTTTTACTTGTATTTTGATAGCCAGACACTGCTTTTCGTTGGAGGACTTTGTTGGACGTGTCGCCTTGCCTAGTCTTTTAAAGGTATTTTTTTATTATTATTCTGTTTATGTAGTTAATTGTGAAACACTTTATGTGAGAATAATTATACTGAGGACGTTATTTTTGGATTATTTTCTTTTACATAAGTATATATTCGTTTTGAGGATGTTTAAACAACTACACCAAAAGCTCAGTAATTAAGTACGTCATATGAAATTTTTGATTTTTTCAAATACCATCGAAAATTACCTATATTATTTCTGTTGTTGATTTTGATATCTAGAAGTTGTTTCTTTGAAAATTCCTTCTATTTTTCCAGAATCGCCAAAATAAAATGTGACAAATTTTACAATTTGCTTATTTTTCTAATAAATGGAGCATTCTTGCTCAAACACGTTTTTTTTAAATATTTTTTTGGCCACTCAATTTTTCCGGAATTGGGCTAAATACCATCAAAACGCTTTTTTTCGAATGAATCAACTCGTCGAGATTTATGTCTCAGAATTTTTTGTGGATTTTTAGGCAACTGTTTCAAAAGCTCAATTTTTCGATATTAATTCTTATGAAATTTTTTACTTTTTTACCATGTTCGAAAATCGTCTAAAGTGATTTTTTGTAGATTACGATCTCCAAAATTTATTTTCTGCTTCATTACTTTGAATATTCTTTCCATTTTTCCAGAATCGCCCATATAAATTAAGACAATTTTTAGGATTAAAAACAAATGGACTACTAAACCGAATCCAGCTCTGGGAACATAAACAAAACTATATTTCTCGAATCAGCATGTCGAGATCTAATTTCTAGATTTTTTTGTGAATTGTTGTTAAGTAATGTTTCTAAAAGTTCAATTTTTCACTACCCCTCCCTTTAGAAATTTTCGACCTTTTTTTGACCACCTTTGAAAATTGCCGCAAGAGGTTTTTCGTTTTTCTGTAGATTACGATCTCCAGAATTACTTTGGGTTTCATTTCTTCGAAAATTCTTACCATTTTTATAGAGTCGTCCATATGAAGTACGGTGTTTTTCAGTATTTTTCAAAAAATTGACTGTCAACTCAATATCTTGCTCTGGGGCCATAAGCACGCTATATTTTTGGAATCAGGACGTCGAGATTTATATCCTAGATTTTTTTGTGGATTTTTGGGCAACGTTTTCAAAAACTTAAGTTTTCAACAGTGAAATTGGGACCTTTTTTCGACCACTTTCGAAGATTACCTATTTTTCTGGGACCATAAACACATTATATTTCTCGAATCAACACGCCTAGATTTTTTTGTGGATGTTTACGTAATTTTTGCAAGTTCAATTTTTCATTTTCCTGGAAATTACGATCACCAGAATTAATTTAGGCTTCATTTCTTTGAAAATTTTTACCAATTTTCCAGAGTCGTCAAACTGAAATATGGCAGTTTCAGGATTTGTCAAAAAGTTAACCATCAAACCCAATATTTCGAAAATCTCGCTCCGGGACCATAAACATACTATTTCTTTGGAATCAGGACGTCGAGATTTATATCCTAGATTTTTTTGTGGATTTTTTGTCAACGTGTTCAAAAGCTCAAGTTTTCAAACTGAAATTTTCGACCACTTTCGAAGATTACCTAAGAATTTTTTCTACTACTTCCAGATTTTTTTTGGCCTCATATCTTCAAAAATCCTTACAAATGTTTCCAAAATCGCCAAAACAAGGCAATTTTTAAGATTTTAAAAAACCGAATATTTCGAAAACCCAGCTCTGGGACCATAAATAAACACATTATACTTCTCGAATCAACACGCCGAGATCTATTTTTTTGTGGATGTTGAAGTAATTTTTCCAATTCAATTATTCATTTTTCTGAAAATTACGATCTCCAGAATTAATTTGGGCTTGATTTCTTTGAAAATTTTTACCAATTTTCCAGAGTCGTCAATGTGAAATATGGTAGTTTCAGGATTTTTCAAAAAATTAACCATCAAACTCAATATTTCGAAAATTTCGCTCCGGGACATAAATACGCTATTTCTTTGGAATCAGGACGTTGAAATTTATATCCTAGATTTTTTTGTGGATTTTTAGTCAACGTATTCAAAAGCTCAAGTTTTCAAACTGAAATTTTCGACCTTTTTTCGACCACCTTAGAAGATTACGTAAAAAAATTTTCTATCATTTTTTTTGACTTCATTTCAAAAATTCTGATAAATGTTTCCAAATCGTCGAAACAAGGCAATTTTTAGGATTTTTAAAAATCGAATATTTCGAAAATCCAGTTCTGGGACCATAAACACATTATATTTCTCGAATCAGGATGCCGAGATCTATATTCTAAAATTTTTTGTGAATTTTTAAGTCATTTTTCCAAAAGTTTAATTTTTCAGAACTCCTCCCTTTAGAAATTTTCGACCTTTTTTTGACCACCTTTGAAAATTGCCGAAAGAGATTTTTCATTTTTCTGCAGATTACGATCTCCAGAATTACTTTGGGCTCCATTTCTTCGAAAATTCTTACCAGTTCTGCAGAGTCGTCCATATGAAATATGGCATTTTTCAGGATTTTTCAAAAAATTGACTGTCAAACCCAATATTTCGAAAATCTTGCTCTGGGACCATAAACACGGTATATTTTTGGAATCAGGACGTCGAGATTTATATCCTAGATTTTTTTGTGGATTTTTGGGCAACGTTTTCAAGAACTTAAGTTCAACACTGAAATTTTCGACCTTTTTTTCGACCACTTTCGAAGATGACCTAAGAATTTTTTCTATTACTCCCAGATTTTTTTTTGGCCTAATTTCTTCAAAAATCCTTACAAATGTTTCCAAAATCGCCAAAACAAGGCAATTTTTAAGATTTTAAAAATATCGAATATTTCGAAAACCGAGTTCTGGGACCATAAACACATTATATTTCTCGAATCAGCAACTCTAGAATTTTTTGTGGATTTTTAAGTAATTTTTCCAAAAGTTCAAATTTTCAAAACTCCTCCCTTTAGAGATTTTTGCCGTTTTTTTTTGACCACTTTTGAAAATTGCCGAAAAAAATTTTGCATTTTTCTATAGATTTCGATCTCTACAATTAATTTGAGCTTCATTTCTTCGAAAATTCATACCATTTTCCGGAGTCGTCAATATAAAATGTGGCAGTTTTCAGGATTTTCCAAAACATTAACTATCAAATCCAATATTTCGAAAATCTTGCTCCGGAACCATAAACACGCTATATTTTTGGAATTAGCACGTCGAGATTAATATCCTATTTTTTTTTTTTTTTTGTGAATTTTTAGTCAACTTTTTCAAAACCTCAATTTTTCAACATTATGAATTTTTAGGTCTGTTTTCGACCACTTTCGAAAATTATCGTACATTTTTCTAAAAATTGCCACTTCCAGAATCGCCCATACGAAAAAAGGCAATTTTTAGGATTTAAAAAATAGACTATTAAACCAAATATTTCGAAAACCCAGCATTGGTACTATAAACACACTATATTTCTGGAATCAGCATGTCGAGATCTATATTCTAGAATTTTTTTGTGTGGGTTTTTAAGTAATTTTTTCCAAAAGTTCAAATATTCAATACTCATCCCTTTGGAAATTTTTAGAATTTTTCGACTTTTTTTTTACCACCTTTGAAAATTGCCGAAAGGTTTTTCATTTTTCTGTAGATTACGATCTCTAGAATTAATTTGGCTTTCATTTCTTCGAAAATATCCTCCATTTTTCCAGTATCGCCAAAATAAAATCTAACAAATTTTAGATTTTTTTTTTTGACTTTAAATTATTTTCGTAGCAAACGTAGCATTCTTGGTCATACGCGATTTTTTTTCACAATTTTTTCCCACCCAGTTTTTCGGGAATTGGACTAAATACATCCTTAAAAAAAATACTATAATTGCTTCGGAATTTTCGATATTCGTCTCTTCAGTCTTGGCCCCAAACCATTGAAACGCTGTTTTTCGAATCAGCTCATCGAAATTTATATTCCAGAAGTTTTTATGGATTTTTAGGCAAATTTTTCAAAAGCTCAGTTTTTCGATATTAAGAATTCTTATGAAAATTTCGACTTTTTTACCATGTTCGAAAATTGCCTAAAGAGATTTTTTATAGATTACGACCCCCAGAGTGTATTTTCGGCTTCATTTCTTCGAATATTATTACGATTTTTCCAGAATCGTCCACAAAAAATATGACAATTTTTACGATTTTTCAAAAAATTAGCTATCAAACCGAATATTTCGAAAATCTTTCCCCGGGACCATAAACACGCCATGTTTTAAGAATCAGCACGCCGAGATTTATATCCTAGTTTTTTTTTTATGAATTTTTTGTCAGTTTTTTCAAAACCCCAATTTTTCAATATTATGAAATTTTCGACCTCTTTTTGTTATCTTATTTTTCTACATATTGCTACTTCTGTAATTTGGGTTTCATGTCTTCAAAAATTCCTGCCATTATTTTCAGAGTCGCCTATATAAAATACGATAATTTTCAGAATTTTTCAAAAAATTGACCATCAAGCCCACTATTTCGAAAATCTCACTCTGGAACCACAAACACGGTATATTTTTTAATCTGTACGTCGAAATTTATATCTTGGATTTTTGGCCAACATTTTCAAAAGCTCAAGTTTTCCACACTGAAATTTTGATTTTTTTTCGACCACCTTTGAAGTTTACGTAAAGAAATTTTTCTACTACTTTTAGCTTTTTTTTGGCTTCATTTCGTCAAAATTCTTACAAATGTTTTCAAAATCGCTGAAATAAGTCAATTTTTAGGATTTTAAAAAATAGAATATTTCGAAAACCCAATTCTGGAACCATAAACACATGATTTTCTCGAATCAGCACTTCGAGATCTATATTCTAAAACTTTTGTGAATTTTTAAGTAACTTTTCCAAAGGTTGAATCCTTTCGAAATTTTCGACCTTTTTCTGACCACCTTTGAAAATTGCCAAAAACGACTATTAAACCGAATATTTCGAAAATCCAGCTGTGGGACTATAAACACACTATATTAAACCTCCATTTAGAAATGTTTGACCTTTTTTTGATCACCTTTGAA